AAAATAAGGGGGGGGGAAGGGGGTAGCGTAATGGTTTAGTCACGGTCATCGGTGTACTTTGGACACGACAGTCCGAGGTTTAAGCCCCGCTATTGCTACCCAGCTTTGGTGTCGTCAGGTTCAATACCACGCCCAACCTATTGGGGCCTTATGTGGTTCGCCACTCGAAGTCCCGGGGCTTAGGTTGTCGGTTTCCATCACTAACTAGCAAGTATTAGTGGCTATGAGGTCCGCCCCTATCTGCTGTTCGTTACACAATGGTGTAATAGAAAAGGAGGGAGACTACGTAGGTATTTTTGTCTCTTCTATTCACTTCGCAGGAGAGGATTAAAGGGGACTGGAAGGCGCACCTTGGCAGCAGCGCAAGCGACCGATTGAAGAAGTGAAATAAACAGAATCGCGTGAAGGAATGTACGTCATATTTGTCTTGGGTTAACTTCGGCACTCGGGAAGGATTTTGGTGCGATGGTTTGGTTTGCCTGAAGCGCAGGTTGTGGCTGGGTTACGTGAGAAACACAACAGTTGATTAGAAGGCTCGTCAAGGAACATTAACTAGGCCCAAGCTGAATGTAACTAAAAGGAGTGCTGTTTATGAGATGTAACCTGAAGTAGTTTCAGTCTAAATTTATTTGTTCCAAGATTACAAAGCTCACATTTTTTGTTTGTTTGTATCTAGTTTATCGAGTTTAGTCATCAATACTGAAGTCCGAATTCGACAAGGGTTAATAAAAATACCACGGAGAAAGAAATAATTAAAAACTCAAGCGGTCACCGTAGTGTTGCATCAAATGAATTTTAGAAACTGCTGGCGACCGGGGCAACTCACTCGGCCTTTGGTTTTTTCCGCCGCAGCCAGCTTCGCTCTCTCCCAACGTGGATAAGATTTTTCCGGATCTGGGGTCTCGTGCACTGATCGTCGATGCCGGCGCTTATCAACTGTGCTTTTAGACGAGAGTGACGTGTTGGTTCTTGAAAAATAGTCTGACATGTCGAGGGGAACTGCAGGTTGGGACATGGACAAAGAACCATGGGTACTGTTCGTGTCCGTATTTCGTTTCGAATGCCGAGACGAGTGTCGATGCCCTTCACCCCCAGAGGGATTCCTACGGGGAAATAAAGAGATACGTGGACCATAGACCGCAGGATTACAAAAGAGCACAATCCAATCACAGAGAAATAACCAATGCACAAACAAATGTGGCCGGTTGAAAATGAAACTGATTCGAAAATAAAACGTGGAATGCTACTGAAGTGTGGCGGGAATTGGTTGGTAAGTCTTACAGCGAGACATTATTATTGACCAGCTGTCATTTTGTTCAGTACGAACGAACAAAAGGCTGCCTGGAGGATACACAAGCGCATAGTGGTCGAACAGCTGACCATCATTTTCTTATCACCCCGACGATTTGCAAGTACCGCTGAGCTGTGCAATGGTTAGAAGCATACTGTTGAAGGAGAATGCTCAGCGGTACTATCATTGTTTGTTGTACAACGGTGGATGGCAGACTTTTAGCACACCAATAAAATATTAACAACACCTGGCGGCACAAATGTATTTGTGTGACTGATTGTTCAGGTAATTGTATTGTGTATGTGGCGGTCATTATGACGTCTGGATGAACCTCACCGCCTATACATTCCTAGATAACTTTATAGCTGTCTGCAGGTCAAATTCTGAAAATTTACGGTACAATTAGTTACTCAATAAAAAAATTTCCACTGCCAGCCCTGAAAGTGACATAAAAATGATACACACACATACTGCTGACGAGTCCCAACAAGAACAAACAGTTATCATCATTGTACAGCGAAATAAATTGAGCCGAACTTCCCCGATCGCTGTCAAACTCACAACGTAAACAAAACAAAATACACATGTGTAAGGTGGACGGGGAGTGGACCGGTTTTGAAGGAGGAAAACGAAAGTGAACCTCTATGGTCAGTGCGCAGAGTTTGTGTTCTACCTGTGTATACACAACACATATGAATCAGTTTGATGTGATAATAAGCAATGACATCAATAAGAACATCACTGTAGTCGGTTCGTTGTTATTTCTGTTGGTGTTTGGACTCCCACCATGGGACACTCATTTCACCCGATCTCTTCGTGCATGCTTCGTCCACACGTCATCCGTTGACCGCGATGAGATTTGTTCCACCCGGGAGAAGTAGCCGCGAATAAGGCACGGTGCCATAGACGACTGTCAGACACATAAAATTCGCGCAAAGTCCACTAAACTGAACTCCGTGTGACAACGAATTTTCCACCGAAGCCAGTCCAAATCGATGACGGTTTACCTCGATGTTACTTCGCCGCCTGATCCAATCAACACAAACAGTGAAGGTAGAAACTTCCAGTCGATCTTCCACGGGCAAACTAAGGGACTCTCGGCCACAAAACAGATTTACCCGAACAGTGGGGAAGAATTCGCGACCTTTCAACTTAAATGAACTGTCACATCGGTGCCATTGGTCTTTCAATCGTGCGCAAACAGCCTGGAATATGCTCGCGGTCACCGGCTGAAATGGGCGGATTTTAAACACCAGTGATTTCATTGTGCTTGCAAAACAAAGTTGTTGGTCAACCGGCATGAGACCCCAAGTTAAAAGACACAAAATTCAAGAGTTAAAGGGGCTGCAGAAGCTGAAGAAGAGACTAAGAGAGGCGTGAGGAGTGGAAAACAAATAACTGGACAAAGGATGTGGTATCTGAGGTAGCCCAATTACGCTTATCCACCCCGCTCGATATAACGGACAGCGCGGTCTTGATTATTCTGCGCGACGACTGACACAGTATGGGAGTAGTTTTATTTAATGCATCCATGTGAGCTTGATGGACAGATAGTGATATGAAGCCCAAACATTAATCAGGAGAACAATAAGAAAAGAACCAAACCTTAAGGCAGTGGGGGGAGGGTCGAAATGAAGCAGCGTTCACTTAGATTGATGATTCTTTTGTCACTTTCCCGAATGAGACATCGAGTCGAGTTGAACGCCTAACATGGAGGACCAGCGAATGGAACTTCGCCTGCTATCAGCACATCAATCTTTCAGGTAGGATTTGATCTTCGGTTTACTAAAATTCATTCCGTGTATCTCGTTGGGTCAAAGAAGAGGCGTTAGGCCGTCAAAACACGTAAACGTGAAGTCTCTTCGTGATAACCGAAGCAGCCGTCTACGGTTCTTTGTCGACCATGAAACAATTTAGCGACATTTAATACAAGTGTATGTGCAGGCGGAATTAACAGAATGCGACTTATACAGGAACAACATTACACGGATTCTGGTGTCCATGAATCCATAGAGACTATACAAGATAAGCATCAAGTTTATTACTATTATTATCAATTGTCGTAACTGATCCGGATGCATACCAAACAGGATATTTGGAAATTCAATGATTGGAGCACGTTTTAAACAAACTAATTGTGTGTTCTGCCAATTCAAACCATTTTATTGATTAGAAGACAGACGATTGAACGTAACAACATACGGTATAGCAGATGTATTATAATCAACTAAATAGTGATTGAAAATAAAATAACGAAAATTGCCGCCAAACTGGTTCCTGTTAGTTGAAACTATCTAAAAAAATAAGGTGAATCACGTGAGCTCTTGACAAATAACCAGATGATTGAAATAGTACTGGTGGCAAAATGGCAAGTAAGAAATCGGCTTCTGAACTGACTTCCCTCCCCCTCCCACAAACACACTGAAAAAATCATGAGCAGACAAGGAAGTTAATTGATACCTCACTTGCATCAGAAACACTGCCGGAACAGTGGTCAAAGAGAACCGAGCAACCGTTTTGCCCTCTGCAGCAATTTGCATGGCTATGCCAAACTGTAATTCTATGGATATCGTAGGACTTCTGGACGATGGACAGAACTGCAATATGGAAAGTTGGTGTTTATGATCAACCGTGAGCGACTTCGTCAGTTCCGCTGGGGGTGTAACTAGATGGAAGGGAAGCCCAGATAAAGTTCCCATACAAAGATCGGCCTAAGCACCAGTGGAAAAGTGAACCTGAGCTATCGGGAGTGCGCCAATCACCCCCTCTCATCCCCCTATAGAACATTTTGGTATATACTGTAATGTTAAACCTGGTAGACGAATCGCCGCAAACGAGCTTGTTCCTTAATGTGTGTTTTCCTTGTCTATCATTGATAATTTCCAAGCACTTTACCCATATACAGCGTAGAACCGGGGCTCTCATGTGTTTACACTGGAATTCTCCGAAAAACTGCACTACTCTACACAAGTCGATCGGTTGAATAGATGGAACAGATTAGGAAAAGCAAAAAGCAGTCGGGACCGGTACCTTGATTTGGGCGTTTTTCGTGAGCCGCGCTGAGTAGACACAAGTTTTGCCGGAGTGTGATTTTTGCGTCGCGATCGTGGACAAGTAATCAGAACCAACTGTACGTTTGGCTGTTGCGAATCATGTTTGTGCGAGTCCGCCTGTTTCACTGTAGTTCGCTCGGACGGATCGGGCGAAGAGATCCCACCCGATTTACGAGTGGAACCTGTGCGTAGAGCTTTGGTCGCAGCAACAATTGCAGAATCTGCAAACAGTGCGCGTGGTAAGCACTGACGCAATTCCACTCGGGACGGACAGGACAAGTCCCTGGACGGTGGGGCATCTGGTATCGAGTTCTGGGAAGGGGGTCTATGAAGAAAAATAGGGCAAACAGCAAATTTTTAGGTGATGTGTGAGCAGTTATCTAATCAGTGAAAAAAAACAATTCCCAGAATATCTGATATGAAGAAGCACAAAAAACTTATCATTCCTGGTTGCAAGTGCTTTTACCGTACAGCTTTAAGGGAGTGGCAGAGTTTAGAGCTGTCGACTGAGCCGAAGGCCGCTTTCAGATCCAGGAAGATAGAAATTGTGGGTTTACGAAAAAACGTCCGTTCAAGAATTTGGTGAGCAGTGAAAATGTGGTAGATAAAACTTCGACCAGATCTAAAACTAGTCTGATTCTCACGCATGCACCTTTCACGTGCGGCAGACAATCGACGGAGTGCTATGCCAGTGAGAAGTTCAGAGGTAACGTTGATCAAACTAATTTCGCTGTGGTTTTCACAAGAGGACCTGTTATCTTTCTTGTAAATCGGTAAGATGATCCACTCACAGGAATCTGTTGGAACTTGTTCCTTCTCCCATACTGAATTTAGGAGTTTCTTCAACTCCAAAACCAACACTGAACCTCTAGCCGATGGGGACAGCACATCTGAGCCAGAAGTCCTATATCTTGCGAGATAACTTATTTCCATGGGATCTTCCATTTCAGATAGAAGAATGATGTCAACTAGCAATAGTTGCCCAGATGAGGCAGGAGTTGATAGGCCTAATGTCGATAGGGACCAGTTGAACTGAATCTCGAAATGTTCAACCAATCGTTGAGGGTGCCGTTGCTGACTGTGAATCAGTGTGCTATAAGACTCCTTTATTACCTCATTCACGCCTACATTCATTGGGCCCATACTCCTGAGTAGACGGAAAGGATAGCGGCTATTATCAACAGCCACCGGCTTTTCCATCACTTTATATTATGCTACCCACCCCTTCCCTCAGTCAATCTTCAGTCTCTTGATCAGTTGGTGTTGAAGGGATTTGCACACTATATCATATTTAGCATCAGGAAGAATGGCAGAGCGGGCCAGGTAACAGAGGTTGATGAGGTCCATCGTTTGTACGCCAGAAACAACCTTCGATTTGATCGAAATTTGGATAGCTTGTTTGATTACCGTCCGGTATCCATAAAGTCCTTCGGCTGGCGATTGAACTGAGAGGCATTCAGAGAGTTCCGCTTAGAAGGATGATTTGCAACTATTGCCTACATTGTATTTTGGGTATCTATTTCCGGCGGCTTCGTTGCATAGATTTACCAAGTGTAGACACAATTTGGCTCGTATAAGTGCATGATCCATACCCGCAGGCGTTTACCAATGAGAGCAAGTGTTGAATGGATCCTCGTCAGCGGTGGCTGATGATGATGTGGTCGATTTGAGTTCATTGCTACGGAGAAGTCGGGGTTTCTATGTGAGGCAGAGTCGTTTCTTGTGGAAGATGGTTCTCGAAAGAAACAATGTAGCAATAGTTCGGATCACGAGTACCCGCTTTAAACTTCGAGTCTATCCCTTTTTATTTAACGAAGCGACTGTGTTCTGTTTCGTCCAGCGCTACTAGTTGTTGAATCCGAAATGGGTGAGCAACATACATAACAGACTGTGGGTGCTGGAGCACTGATGCAAAACAACCTGTCGTGTTTGTTATTTGTTCTGTTTCTGTACGCTGTTAACCACGTCGTTCCTTTTGTT